GCCCCTTGGCTACCGGCCGCTTAAGTGCTACCGCGCAATGCACACTCATATTAATATCTGTACGTATGTATGTATGTTTATTCGAAATTAAAGCGAAAAATTTTGCCAGTTGATGGCGCACTGCTTAACGCCTCGGACCTCGCGCTGCCTTGAGAGCATTTTTGCGCATGCGCAACACGTTTTTCGGTAGCCAAACGGCGTGAGACAACGAACTGCAGCAGCAGCAGCAGCAACAGCAATAAAATGAAATCAAGTGGAGCTCGGCAGAGTTTCATCATCAAAGCCATGAGGAATGCAGAGCAGATGGGATCGCTTGTGTAGTAATTTTAGCAGTTGTTGATGTTGTTATTGTTGTTGGTAAATGGGTGCACGATTAAATTGTAGATTATTTGCTTAAATATGTTCGCATATATGCATGTATGTGTTTTGAAGCCCAGTTGAAAGGAGTAGCGCCGATGCAACGTAGATTATTCAAATGCCATTGAAGCTGGATTTTACTGGCCGCGTGTGTTTGTATACAAAAACACATATTGTGCACTGCAAAATGGTCGGTGGCTACTCCCTTACCAAGACTAAGGCTGTAACTACCCAACACACGTACCAGCCGTCCATAGTAACCTATCTTATGAGAGCGCCATGTAAACACAAAGTTGTCACCGCTTGCCCATGCCGTTAGTGACGGTTGTTTCGCAAAAACCAACGAAGATTTGATTTTTTCCGTAAAACCGGCTCGGCTCATTTCTCGTTGCTATACAAGGTTGCCAGTATAGCCTTTCTCAAAGTAACATTAAATAATCGAAGATAATGCATAGTTTTTTTTCAAAAGAAATGAAAACTAAATTCGGAACTAATTATTTGTTACCATATAGAATATGTATATTTGTCTTGTGTTTAATTTCAAGCATAAGAATTATGAAATTCGTTGAAGAAAATTATAAATTTTTTCAAAAGTGTGCAAACAAACTGGCAGCTGGCAACATTTCGCCGCTCTCAGCAGCGTCGATAACTCGTATAGTTATCTCGCCTCGACGTCGCCAGTTATGAACGGCTGGTACGCGCGTTGGGTAGTTGCAGCATAAGCTTGTATGCGCAAAGTAGCTCTTCAAAGTTACCGTAGGTCATAATTCATTGTTCGTCTTTTTGATTAGTATTTTCATATTGGAGCCGAACTGGCGATTGACAGTCGTTGCTTTTCTTCACCCTTCGGCACTTGGATACGCCAAGTGAAGTCAGGTGTCGCTCCAACTGATCATTCCAATGAAAGAAACGTCTGATACCAATAAAGTCTTGTCCCCCATACAGCCTTGGATCACAGAAAAAAGACTGGGCACTTTAGTGGTGCCGTTATGACATATTCGTTTTAAAGGTTCCTTCACTAGAGTCTTTTGGCAACGTCTATGCACCAGAGGTGAGGGTGCGAGCGGGCGAGGGTCCACCTGCATAAAGCGGAATCCTTATTAAGACTAGGCTGCAATTCAATCCATCCAAGTGGGAGGAGATCAAACGTTCAGTGGTGAGCTGTGAGTAGTGAGTGACGTCCTACTGAAATGAAAAATATCCAGAAGGGAAGTTATTAAAAGACCTGAAATCTGGCGCGGAGAAGATGACTTTCATCTCACTTTTGAGCATTTTCACATGCTGCGTTGGTCTGAGCAATTACCGTAACATTCTGGAGGGGTGTAGCCACTCTAGAGGTTGAAAAATATTTTGAAGTATAAAAAAGATTCTTTAATTATTATTTTGTTACGAAATGGCGGCGATAAAGTCCATTATTAAATCCATAATTCTTTTTAAAGACTTCTACGAGTGGACCGCCTTCTTCTAAAGGATGAGACCTAGAACAGAAAAGCAAAGAGTTTTATTATCTACGAACTATGGTCTTTTTAAGTACGTATGTAATTATTTTTTAATTAACTTTTGTGTTTTTTTTTTAAGATTGATTTTTGATTAAAAAAATACGCACTAAATTATTAAAAAAAATTTACATTTAATCGAAATATGGTTACGTACTTCCAGAAACAATGTCTTTGGGCAGCTATCATCAAAATTTCAGATAAATCGATGCAATAGGGTCCGAATAATCTGTCCTTCTACTTTGAAAAATGTGATTTTGAGAAAAAAGCGTTTAAAGTTCTCATTATACTCAGCGCACGCTCTCAGGGGCTGCAGCAAAATAAAAAAGGTCAACTGATTGAAATATTTTTCTCACTTTAAAACCAATTGCATATCATTTCTAGGACCCAAAGGTATCCGGTGAGCAAAAAAAAATATCGTTTTCCAAAATTATAGAGCTCTGGCCACTCTACTAGATATAATAACAGAGATCATTATTATAGTTTCTCTGCTTAAGGCGATAATAAATATCGAGAGGAGGGAAAATACATAACTGAGCACAGCTTGCAACCCTCAGAAACTATAAAATGCCAATGCTTTTATCCAGTCTCCGAACCAACTTACAAGTTATCGCATATAGATGGCGCAGCATACGGTGTGTGCGTGTTTTAAGCGATTTGCCAAGCAAAAATTTTGTGTATGTATGTATGTATATATAAGAATTTTAACTTTTTTGTTCAAATTAATGCTTTCCTGACGAACCTATGAATAGCAGTGAGAACTTCGTTTGCCTATAATATTTATCCTTTTCTAAAATGACTTGATCTGAGCACTGGCAAGACAAGTAAATATTGTACAAATACAATCTTATTTGCCGAAGTATGTGCAATAAGGAACCGTTACCACGAACTCTCCACGAAATCGATCTGCCGAGTACCAGCAAAAGAAATCACACAGAGCACAGGATTTTATTGCCATCTGTAGAAAGCTGCCTCTAAACTTCAACTCACCCAAAACCTGCTCAGAAAAGAGAAGCCATCCTGTTGTATTTGACTCAATATTTATACAATACCCTTTATGTGCATAAATGAAATTGTAAATATATAAGCTTTTGTCCGAAGTATGTGTGTACCAGAGGAGAAGTTATCGATCTGATATGAATGACAAGTTGAGTTGATTTAGCCATGAACAACTGTCCGTCTGTGTGTAAGAAAACTAGTCCCTTGGTTTTTAAGATATTTAAACCACACTTAGAATACAAATGCAATCGTACATTGAAACCATCAGTAGTCGGAGCCGGCTAGATCGAACCGACGAAGTTTTCAAGACCGGAGCAGACTCTGGTAGGACACATAGAGGATATCTAGTAACTGATGCCCAGAGCATATTGAATTTATGGAGGCAACACTTCTCTAGACTGCTGGATTTCAGGGAAAAACCCGAAAACCCAATCGATGACGATAGAAAATACGTCCCATTACCAAACTATGAAGAAGTTCGAGTGACAATCGCCCGCTTAAAAAATAACAAAGCTGTTTTAGCTGTGAGAACTATTGAAACATGGTGCTGAAGAGCTGGCAAGGTGCATGCATCAGCTACTTTGCAGAATGTGGTCGGTCGAAAGTACGCCCGACGATTGGAATTCATGTGTAAGCTGCCCAATTCATATAAAAAGGGCACCGCACAGTCTGCGGCAATTATCGTGGAATAAGCCTTATTAATATGGCCTACAAGATCCTGTCGAGCGTATTTTGTGAAAGACTGAAGTTCACCGTCCACAAACAGATTGGACTTTGTCAGTGTGGCTTTTGACGTAGTAAGTCAACCATTGACCACATCTTGGAAAAGACCCGTGAAAAGGGGATCGACATACACCACCTCTTCATCGATTTTGAAGCCGCCCTCGACAGCACGCTGCCTCTACGCCGCTATGTCTGAATTTAATATCACCGCAAAACGGCTATATACATAACCTGACCTTAAGCAACACTAAATGCTCCGTCAGTTTCGGGAAGACCTCTCCGAGCCGTTCGTTGACAAACAAGGTTTTAGACAGGGTGACTCTTTGTCGTGTGATTTTTTAAATTTGATGCTGGAGAAAATAATAATGGCCGCAAAGCAGTCGCACTTAACTGGAGATTTTTCGTATTGCCCTCGTTCACTTCGAGATCCATATCCTTAGCAGCTGCACACTCTTATAGAAGACTGCATTTTCTCTATTCGTCTTGAAAGAGAAGGTATGCCTGTCGTAAGGGTAACTGAGATCCAATAGTACCCGAGACATTCGGATCTCAATACCTTAACGACCAGGATTTTTATACAGACTGTCACTGCTGTGTGTGTGGAGAGGAGAAAACGTAAGTTAGCTGGGGATGGGACAGACGAAATTCCATTACCAAATTCGCCATGTAATCCTATTCGGGTTTCGGCGCAATTTACAGCCAATACAAGTATTCAACGAATAACAAATTGATAAATGGAACGATTGCACTGTATTCAAGGACTATTTCTAAGTGATTCCGAAGATTCCAGACCGGACATTTTCCGTAGGCGACGAGCCTCGATAACTTCAACAAAAAACTTCCACTGTAGCTGGACGACGACCCACGACACACAAGAAATTATTGCTAATGAATTGGACTTGAATGCCATGGCTGTATCCCGAATATTAAGTAATCATCTGGGATACCTGAAGAAATCTGCTCGGTGGGTACTACGAATTTTAAATGAGGCCCAAAAAGAAGACTGAGGTAACGAGAAATTTCTTTACGATCTCTGGGATTGAAGAAATACATCCGTCCAGCACCATAGTCCCCGGATATAGCACCGCGTAGTTTATGGCTTTTTCCAAAAATTAAATAAACATCAAAAGGAAAGATCTTTCATAGCAACGAGGAGATAATTCCTGCGGTTAATGCTGAGCTTGATAAGGTCAAAAAACGAGATTTCGAAGACTGTTTTCAGAAGTGGATTTATAGGCTTGAGAAATGCATTGAAATCAATGACGATTATGTAGAGGAGATAAAAAATTATAAAGTTTACGAACCAAACCAAATAAAAAATTTTTTTTGGCATTTTTCTGGCCAGTTCGGTAAGAACTTTTGTTAAGCCCCACGTACATGTAGATTTCATTATTTTTCGATAATTTAAGCGTTTTATTAATTATTTGTTTTAATATCAATCGAGTATATTGAACATATTAGAAAATACCAAGACTTATTTAATATACATATATATGTACATACAAACAAATGTATGTAACTAAGCATAGTTGTAACTAGTAATCACGGTAATATTAATTTGTACATTAAGCAACCTAATATACTCGTATACATACATATATTCTGAATACATAATATCTTAAAAATACATTATATAAAAAAGCATGCCTTAAAACATATTACAAAACTAATTAACGGTTAAAGAATGCATAATAAATTAAATGTATGAAATAAGCTGATGCGACGCACTACATACAAACGTACATCAATGCAGTTGGATAAATTAGCTTTTGCATCTACAGCCCGCTCTCACTGCACTCAACCCACCTTCTTATGATTAACTCGCACTTGTTGTGTCTGAGTTACGATACTTATTGAAAATTTCTTCCAATTTTCTTAACGACACCGATGAGGCCACACCAAAAGCCCAATTCTTCATAACCACATTCGAACTGCTATTACTCATATTTATATCCATAATAAAGCGTTCGGGGAATACCGACTCATTTGCATCGGCATTCTCACCAACCGATTGATTGAGTTCCGTTGGCGTTTTAATATTCAATTTGCGTGTTGGCTTAATAGCGCGATAGATTTCGGCAAAATGTTTAAAATAACGTTGATTGAGGCGACAACGACTCGCCGGATCACGTATCCTATAGAGTTGATACATTTTCAAAGCATATTGAAAGGCGGCACGGCAAGATCTCGCTGAAATGAGTGAGAGAGAGAGAGAGAGAGACATGAGAGGGAAGCAGAAAAATGAGTAAATTACATTGTTAAATGAGAAATTCAATAAGCGTAAAGTAGTTTCTTAAGGAACCGTCAGATGTGGCAACTAATTAATTACAAATTGCATGTCAAAATGATAAAATTGGAAATTTAGTTTCAAGAGCAGTCACACGTAGCATAAAAAGCTTCAGAAATGAATTTGAATTTCATCTGCTGCAAATTAGCTTATTTGAGAGTAATTTAACATGAATTGAGCTTTTAATGGCAAAAATATTTCCCAAATTGGTTTTCGCGGAACATTACGGAAGCAACAGTCATTGGCCGCATATAAATCCGCTAGTGCCGATATAATGACCCGACTGTTGAAGGAACTTTTGAATTTTAGTCACCGCTTACGACGGGCATGCCTTGTCGAAGGTTTATAAAAAAGATATATGCATATCAAAATGTCCATATGAAAAATTGACTTTGACATTACGTAAATCCTTTGAGAGCAAATTTCCAGAGATATAAAAATTGCTTAAAAATCAAATTGCAGATAATAAGTGCAATTATACACATCAAATTCTCTTCTGCACGTATGTATATGAAACTAAATTGCAGAAACTCGTTTGAGGTTCTCCAACGCGTCGATTTGAATTCTTTTTTACAGCAAAATTCTTCAAGGTGACAAAAAACTGAATGAAAATTGCTACGTCTGACGGTGCCTTGCGTATTTTATATTCACTCACAAGTTGTGCCCAACTCCTGCGCCACTTGCTCCCACGCTTGGTTTTTCTCCTTCTCGCTTGCCTTTTGATAGATTTGCGGATAGCGACGTACAGCTAAAATCACACGGTATGCATCGATATCGGGCACTTTAAGCAACATTGAACTTGATGGCTCCTCTTTCATGGCATAATACTTTTGCTCCTCCCTCGTACAACGTTCACATTCGGCTATCATCTTATTGCGCACAATATAGTAGAAGGGTTCCATATTCGTATATTGTTCTTCTATAAGAAAATCCAATTTGGCCAAAACGCGCCACCATTCCAGCGGCCATTTGTTATCGATGCCAATCTCCAAATCTTTCATATATTTAATGAATGCATTTCTGAATAGGCCCCATGTGTCGAACCACATTCCTGGAAGGATTCACAATTTCAACGTATTAAATATTTGCTGTTGTTGTTATTTAATGTAAATTGAACTTACTATTCGTTACGTTTGAATCGGTATGTATGGCCGATTGCCAGTCGGCGACGAATGTCAGTTTCTTTCCACTTACGCGCGGTATTACCTGCGTCTGATGTCGAATGTTGTCGAAAAATTTCTCAACGATACCCTTAAATTTTGTCAAACGCATTTGCGCTGCAAGAAGAAGAAGAATGAAAAATGTCTTATACATATATGTATTGTATTTACAATTCAAAAAATTATTATATATTAATCAAAATTAAAATTTATACTAAAAATGAACGTACATAATAGAAATTATTTAAAATTATATTGAAAAAATTATATATTTTATTTAAAATTTTGTATTCTGTGGTAATGTCGAGATATATGCCCTTCTTTGTGCTGGAAACAGAGTTATGTCGGATCCTTAAAGAGTAAAGCCACTCTAGAGATTGAAAAATAGATGGTGTCTTGCGCGGCATACGTTATATATGTCGAGGTCGAGTACTCCTTTTGTGATGTGGTGGGTTGTTGTTGTTATAACGATTGCTATACCTTGCTTAGAGACAGGCTAAGTCGCCGAGATCATATAACGGGAGGTCTAAGAAACTGTTTCGACGCATTCGGACAAGACGGAGAGGATGGGCTCAGATGTGGCGGTATTAGTGGGTATGTGTAGAGGTGGTTAGTGTCATGTGGACAATCGTTACGTGCAGGACATACGTTAGGACTCTATTAGATGTCTGTTGGCAGACTATCTAATGGAATTGCTTGCAGAGCAATTGTAGCATAGATGCTTCACTGTGCAAGCGATGCTCCGACAACATCAGAGGGTACTCTATTGCGGTCCTGAGACACCGTGTTCTGGCTTCTTCAACTATATCTCGTTCGTCCTCGGCGCCCAAATCGATGCAGCATAGCTAACCACCGGCTTGTCAATAGCTTTACAGGGTGCCAGCAAGGTTTCTTTGTCTTTATCCCAGGAGCTGCCGGCTAGCGCTTTGAGTATTTTGTTGCGGCTCTGGAGTTTTGCAGCAATTACGGTCGTATGGGGAGTGACGGGGTACAGGCTGCCGAGTGTGACTCCCAATATCTTAGGGTTATTTATGGTCGGAATTTTCACGTCATCGACCTTTACATCTAATTCGAGCCTTTTTCCCTTCGTCCATCTAATGATAAGGATAACCGAGGATTTGGTCGGTTGTATCTTTAGTTGTCGTGCAGTGAAGAAGTGAGTTAGGTCGTCGAGATGGCCGTTTACTTTCGAACAAAGATCATCAATATTCCGGCCAGACGCTCTCACGCCGGGCATCAGAGTTGACCCGGATTTTATGCGGCCTACGGCTATCACCCTTTCGGCGATGTAACCTCGTTTAGGCCAACAGATAACATAACCGATACTTGTACCATCCACTGTGGTGAATGCGAGGACTCTGAGACGGAATCTCTCTCCCATCACAAATTTAACATCAAACTTACGCTCCTTTATATTGTAAATTTTAGTAAATTTCCCAACGACCCATCCTCTATCGCCTTTGTTTCGTGACTCGTGATTGATATGATTGATAGATGGGCGGAAAGGCTTTACTTAAGGTTAAAAACTAACTTCCCTGATGCATTTTATTAACACACGTGCATATAAGTATATATTACCTGCTTTTGCTGTCATAGATTTAAAGAAAGAGTAATTTTCACGCCAAACTTTAATGCCCAATTTCACCGGTTTCGTCAGTTCTTCCATGGGCGCTATTTGGGGGAAATGTGCAAAATTCTCTGAGAGGAAATTCCAGCATGCTTTGCAAATATGCACTGTAAATAAGAGAGAGAGTGAGAGAAGCGAATTAGTTATTTATAAGAAAAGTCAATTCTCCCTCTTCATCTATCAACCTACCTGGCAAATTGAAACGTTTCGCCAAGTACATCCAACACATATTGATCTGCGCCGGCTTATTGTAGTCCTTTTTGTGTAAATACGGTATGGATAGCACCTCTCTGATCAACAGTGCCGTCGTACTCATTGGCAACGAATACTTTTGCTCCAACGGCGGCCCGTGCACCACCAATTGATTGCCATTCACCGAACTAATCAATTCGATCATAATTTCATTGGCATTCAACTGCGATGTGGGTGTAAGATGAGGACGCGCCAGTGTTGAAGAGGATGCTTTGCTCTCAACTGCCGATTCCGAATTGGCATCAGGTAAGGGCTTGGCGTTTCCGTTGTTCGTAGCCAAATTAGTCTTGGGTGCCGCAACAATGTTTGGTCTATTGTTTGTCATGCTTGGAAAGGACACCAGCGCATTTGTCGTTGTATTCGTATTTATCGAACTCAGAGGCGGACATTTGACAATATTTGTGTTGTCCGGCAATTGAAAGGGTAAATTTATGAAACCAGTGTTGAGTGGCGGCAAAGATTTTGGTTCGGTGATAGGCGTCATCACTAAGCTTGTTTGTGGCGAAATTGTTGTTGGCACACTTTGCAGCACTGGAGGCGACGGTGTTGCCGTGCCCGCTCCGCCCGTAGAGAGTGCTGTTATCTGTAGACCCTTATTGACGAAAGGCGCCGAGAAGGCATTGCGTGGTGCCAAACTCACAGCCGATACGATTTTCGGTGTTTTTAGCGTATCGAACGGAAGTGTCACAACAGGGATCGGCGCTTGTGGTGGATCCAATGTTGCTGGCGGCAGCAGTTGTCCTACATTAGCGGGTATAATTTGCGGGATTTGTGACATTTGTGGTGGCGTTTGCGCATTTGCTTGCATTTTAGCTATTGTCTTAGTTTGCGCTTGTATCGGCATTAAGGGCAACATTTGAATGTGTGTTTGATGTGCTTGTGGCATGCGCGGCAGCGAGATTGTTTGTAAGGGATTCGGCATTTGGGTAGGCTTAGCCGTTTGCGTTTGTAAGCGTATTTGTATTGGTTGACTTTGTGGTGTTTGCTGCTGTTGTTGTTGTTGTTGTTGCTGTTGCAGCGCCTGCGTGGGTAGCGTTTGAATTTGCAGCTGTGGACGCGTTTGCACAAAACTATTCAGTGGCGCATTCGGATCAGCTTGGAGTTGAGCCTGTGATTTTACGCGTATCTGTGGCGATCTGGATTGGGGATAATTATTCATTTGCGCCTCCTGCTGTTTGACAGCAGCTGTATACGATTTTATTGGCGCTTTTGCTAGTGATACAACTACACCGGAGGAAGCTTGTGAGGTAACTGTGTTTGCAGTAGTCGTCGTCATGCTGTTGACTTGCTGTTGCGACACTGCAGTTATTACGGTTATATTTTTAATTTGCTTGCCTTTGGTTTCAATTCTTGATGAAGTTATTTTATCCTCATCGAGATTAACGGATATGGGCACAATGGAATTTGGCGAGAGTGTTGCTTTTGGCAATTGAACCATATTAAGTATGGGTAGGGGTACCTGTACGGGTTGTGTTACTAACTGTGGCGCAGTGTTTGTTGTACTCGTGTTCGTGTTCGTTGTTGTTTGCTGATTCAGCGGTGTGGGTGGCGGTGGCGTTGGCGTTGGCTCACGGGCCTCAGCCGCTTTTGTTGTCTCAGCAACCGAAGCATTCGTATTCACAACTAAGGGACGGCTTTGCTTCGATTTCACACGCGACAACTTTTGCGCGTTCGCCAACGAATAGAGTTCGGATATAATCATTTCAAAATACCATTTGTCCTGTAGTTGGTAACTATGTTTACGCATATTGATTAATTCCCAATAGAACGTGCGTAAAATAAGCCAAGAACTCTCACATTGGCCAGGTGTAACTTTACTGCCTAAAATTACAGGGAAACCTATGTTAGAAACAACTTTTCAAATACTAAATATTTTATGTAAAAGAACATGCCTTTTACTGATGCTACATCAGTCCAGGTTTGCTTATATTTTTCTGTATCAATTTCATCACTCTTGGTTGTCATCGCGTCAGTAAGCGTAATTACGCTTGGATATTTCTTCATGGCTACTAGTAAGCTGTAGATATTTTTAAAATGATCAATTGGCTCGTGCCATTCCTCCTTGAGGTAATATGAAGTTTTATAAACAGTCTTTGGCCTGTAAAATACACAAACATATATATGTATATATAGAAATAGTATTCCTAAAGAATTAAAGTTTAAATGCATTGTATATAATACGTACATTTCTAGTATATATGGCTTGAAGAAGGCCAACAAACTCTCCAACTCAGTTTCTGGCTTTGTTGCACACAACTGTCTTTGTAGCTTACGCTGCATTAGCTCCCACTCGTAGCGTGTTTGTAATTGTATCCAACACTTCATTAATTTTGTAGCTAAAATTTTGTAAAAAAACAAACAAAACAAAAAAAAAAAATACAAAACTGTGTTTAGTATACAAATTCACCACGGCGCATACATACCTTTATCGCCCACCTCGTTCGCAATGGCATTCCAAATGATACCCTTACGACGATAATCTTCATAATATCTATGCTTGGCATCATACAATTCCTGATAGGGTTCGATGTTGGCTATTAAACGACGTATTTCCGGCGTTATTTGGAATTGAAATTTCACACGCTTCGCGAAAACTTTTGCTACATTAGCGGTTTCGTCCTCCAAATCAATAACTTCGACATCATCCTCCAACAAAACGATATCATCATCATCATCAATCACATGTTGTACAGGTAATATTTCTTCTACGCTTTTCTCACTCTCATATGGCAGGGGACAGTGTATTCTGTGGACGAAGATTAGTCAAAAATATACAAATTAATTTATTTAGTTTAAAAATATTGATAACCCTCACTCACTTGTCACGTATGAAACGCCATAGGAAAATCATATCCGTCTCATATGCCATAACGGGTCGTCGTTTGTGTTTCTTATGCACTTTATTGGCAAAAAATTTACGCAATCGACGCACATACTTTTGATATGAATAACGTAAATTCACCCAAGCATTTCTGCACTCATCCACTGTAATAGATATGAAATTGAAAAATAAGTTAAATGAAAAATTAAAATAATTTAAACCTAAAATATCTCTACATACCATCGCAATCCAATCGCTTTGCTATTTTATTCCAAGTTTCCTTCCGACATTCTGCGTTGGTGAAATTTGTATGTGCTGGATCGTAGAGCACTGGATGCCTGCGCACCCAACGTATTAATTTTTTATGAAATTTCGTATTTGGCTTATTGCTGCTGGGTTGGGATGTTTCTTCATCTTCTACGATAATCATGTCATACACCTCAATGGGGTCTGTTAAGGTGCCCGTTTCCCATGGTGCGGGACTCTCAGACTGAAATTGTTAAAAAAACAAAATTATAAAGCTTCTCCTCTTCTAAGGATTCTGCCGACGCCTCAGAGAATAAAAATTTTTGGTTATATAATAATTTGATAAATAGTATCATCGAGAAAGAATACGGTAATAATTGTCATTATTTAATTTTCCAATAATTCTTGCTCATTTTACATATTTTTCTATCGCAGTGTACATGCAGTTTTTGCTTAAAATGCTCGGTTGCAAAAAACTTAAATTTTGAATATTTTAAAATTTCATGCATCTGCTAAAATATGATAATGGATATGGTTTTTTAGATCATTCTTTCATTTTAAATTTGTTAGATCACAAGTTTAGAATTAATTCAAAGGTACGAAATACCGCTTTCTTTATATAATTATCACTATCTCTCTCTCTCTCTCTCTCTCTTTACATTTCCCTCTCTAATTTTATCTCCCTCTCTCAATTTATATCCCTCTCTCTTTATATCCCTCTCTCTCTATATATCCATATCTCTCTTTATATCCCTCTCTCTCTTTATATCCCTCTCTCTCTCTTTATATCCCTCTCTCTCTCTTTATATCCCTCTCTCTCTCTTTATATCCCTCTATCTCTCTTTATATCCCTTTCTCTCTCTTTAGAACCCTCTCTTTCTCTTTATAGCCCTCTCTTTCTCTTTATAACCCTCTTTCTCTTTATAACCCTCTCTCTCACTTTATATCCCTCTCTCTCTTTATAAACCTTTCTCCCACTTTATATCCCTCTTTCTCTTTCTTTTTATTTGACTCTCTCTTTACATCCCTCACTGTATATATTTCTCCCCTTTTATATGTCTCTCTCTCTCTATACATATCTCTAACCTGTATATATGTCTCTCTTTCTATCTCTCTCTCTCTCTTTATATATGCCTCTCTTTCTATCTCTCTCTCTCAATATATATATGTCTCTCTTTCTATCTCTATATATATATATGTTTCTCTTTCTATCTTCTCTCTCTTTATGTCCCTCTCTCTCTTTATGTCCCTCTCTCTCTTTATATCCCCTCTCTTTTTATCCCTCCTCTCTTTTTATATCCCTCTCTCTCTCTTTATATCCCCTCTCATTTTATATCCCTCTCTATCTTTATATCCCCTCTCTTTTTATCCCTCCTCTCTTTTTATATCCCTCTCTCTCTCTTTATATCCCTCTCATTTTATATCCCTCTCTATCTTTATATCCCCTTTCATTTTATATCCCTCTTTCTCTCTTTATATCCCCTCTCATTTTATATCCCTCTCTCTCTCTCTTTATATCCCCTCTCATTTTATATCACTCTCTCTCTTTATATCCCCTCTCATTTTATATCACTCTCTCTCTTTATATCCCCTCTCATTTTATATCACTCTCTCTCTTTATATCCCCTCTAATTTTATATCACTCTCTCTCTTTATATCCCCTCTCAATTTTTATCCCTCTCCTCTCCTCCTCATCTTTTCATGGCTTTGTTTTTACATCTCTCTCATTATATCACTCTCTCTTTACATCCCTCACTTTATATATTTCTCCCCCATTATATGTCTTTCTCTCTTTCTTCTCTCTCTTAATATATATCTCTCTTTATATATATATATATCTGTTTCTATATATCTTTCTTTATATATATATCTTTCTTTATTTATGTGCATATCTCTCTATATATCTCTGTCCACATATATATATCTCTCCCTCGAAATCTCCCTCTTTATAACAGTCTATAGTTCTCTCTCTTTTAACTACAGTGTTGACAAACTCCTCAACATTTTAGTTCATAACAAAAGTAAGAGCCTATTCCTAAGCCTCATGCTCATATTTTGATCTTCCGCTACCCGTATCTCCTATCACACAACCTAATGCAGCCATTCCTGTTTAATAGAATGTTGTATCGTTGAATAATACTTTTCGTTTTCTACTACATATTTTTTAAACAATATTTTATCTTATATTTCCGTGCTTATAATATAACTTTGTCCTCTTGGGCGATCTACACACGTGGTTTATGAACACACCCAAAACTATTAAAAAAAAATTCCTAAAAATATACAAAATATTTTTATTTCTACTTCATTCACGCAATATTATGTAAATTATTTTAATCCCTTCAGTCCGATTTTTATAAATTCGTTGAGAATTGCAGGCAAGATAATTGCCTACTTCTCAATGTGTTTAATTTTTCCAATAATATATGAGACCCAAGCCATCCACATTCTTTCAAAGGTATGATCCTGACAGCTATTTCAATAATGTTTAAAATGCATATATACATAACAGTACAGATATATGTATATTTCACTTGAGAGTAAATACATTTCACTCTTTCTAACAGCGACAACAATAATTTCCTATAATCGTGTGCTCAGAATTGCCAGTAGCCAAACCAACCACAGCATGGAACATATACAGACATGCACACCGTCTCACACTCACCCGCTGAGTGTTAAAAGTGTGCTCTCTTCTTGCTATTTTCCTTTCTCCACCATTATTTGTACGCAAAGCACAAATAAAATAATCTATATATGTACGATGTTCATGTGATTGAATTGACAATATGTATTGGATATTTTACTAACATTTTTTCTCCTCATTTTGGTAGATCAGTTTGTTAAATTCTTTTTGCAAATATTTGTATAAATTCACTTATTTTTCCTCTTAAAATCTTCACATACACAACACACAGAGTCAACTAACAAATTGCCTTGTCAAAAGCAGACTGATGACGAAAACGAAACAACATTGACAGACAATGCAAAAATGAGAAATGTTAGCATTTAGCAGCTGAGAAGCCGCCACTGTTCGCTGAACCCTTTGCACATACAAACATGCATGTATGCATATATGTAAGTCCACATTAGCTGGTGAGCTAGCTAGAGAAGCATATCGCGCTCAACATGCCGATTATATGTAGCTGTGTGTGTGCAAGTGTGTGTGTGGCACGAGATTTTAAATATCCACGAGCGCTCTCATATGTCAAAGTATACATAAAAATTTCTGTACACACAACAGCAGGGAAAAAACTGGTCAACTTAACAGCGCCAAACTAGCATGCGACTACCGAACCACTAGTTGTTCGTTAGTGAACGTGCTTGTGCAGCGCGCTATTATTTAAATAACTTGATTAAGATGCGGATGAGAGAGGAAAAGAAAATGAACATGCTTGCATGCATGTGGTCAGAAGTGACAGTGATAACGGAATGTTCCCAGTAAGAAAAATAGGATGTTATATATCTATCATTTACATGAATTTTTTTGTTACACAACAATGAAAAATCTCATCAGACTTCTTCATATGACGGATCCTGACTTAACAATCTATGTAATCTGTTGTTGTATTACTCAATCCATTACTAACCAAAAACTATTGAGTGCGCTAATTTGGCCGATATTTTCTTATAATCGGGTCAGTGAGGTACTTACTTATCCTGTGTACTTTCAAGCGTTGAGAGGCCCCACCCTCCCTTGATATTGGACAAAACTCAGGCAAAGTTTGCATTTTTTTTGTGGGATAATGAAAAGCTGTACGACTTTTAAATTTATTTATTATTTGAAATTTTAAAACGGCAAAAAATTGGTCGAAACTCAAAGTGACGGCTATTTAAGGCGCTTTTCGTCGTCCTTTCGAAAAAATCAGGGCCCAACAAGTTCAGGCCAACAGCCTCACGTAGTGGACTGAAATCAAAAATCGTTGTCATTACTTGAAGATCATGAAATTTTCTACGTACTGAACCTCAATTGAAACAATTTTAACGATAAATTTATTGTATAGGGCTTATTGCAACTATAAAGTTAAATTTTTTGCTACTTTTTTCACTTCAATTACGGTAAAAAAATATAAATAATTAATTATTATTGCTAAACTTAGGTTCAAAACGTACAAAAAACTATATAAATACTTTGAAACAGTTTTTAGATAAAAGAAATCGGACGGACAGATCAAGCCTGGGGCTTGAAGTTAGCTCTGAAAACATGGGTTCGAGAAAAACGCGTCCCCTTAAGGAGTAAAATTAGAATTATATTTTCGGCCTTTGTTCTGAAAGACTGACGGATCATCCAACGGTTTTTGTTGTGTGGGGTCACCAGTTTGACTTAGAAGGAGGTCAGAGCAGTCCAAGTTATCGAGGAAATCTAACGGGACGTCCAGGAAACGAGCTATTCCGACGTGTTGGGATGAGTTGGTTTTAAAGGGCATGCAAAGTGGTGATTAGCATCGTGCGAGGTCTCATTACAAACGGGATATATGTAACTACATACATTAGGTATGTCGGTGTCAAGTCTGGATAGGTAGAAATTTAGGCGACTAACAGATCCAGATCTTAATAGTGAAAGTAAAACAATACTGTTGCTGTTTTCGTTCTTGTAGCAGCGGCTAGGGACAGGCTCGCAATCAATCTATGTCGCCGTGGTTATCTAACGGTAGGCCGAAGAAACGTGGCGTTGACCCGGATTTTATACGTCCGAGGATTGTCACCCTTTCGGCGACCTAACCCGTTTCTATGCAGCGGAATTGATCCGAATTTTATCGGTGACCTAACCCCGTTCCATTCAACCGGTAAAATTAGATCATCCCACAATCTAAACCATGGATTGCAGCGGCCTGTATCTTGAAAGGTATGTTCTGTGGGGACTTGGGGCATCCGATATGAAGGGATTTTCGGGGAAGTGCATCTAAGACCGCTACATTCAAGAAAACCGAATCGATAAACAAGAAAATTGGTACGTAGGCACTTTTTATACTTTTATTAGTGGGAAGTGTAAACGGAACAGATCAATTCGAAAATAAACGCCTGAAGATTGGGACTTGGATAGCTCTTTTTTAAGGTTAATGTATAGAACACTTTTTCTCCGGGAAGTGGACTAGGGAGCGATCATTGAGGGTTAGTATTGCTTGTAAAATATTCAGCCATGGATTGTCATTCCCGCAATATACCCCAAAAACTACTTCGGGGAATAATTTTGCAACAACAGAGAACTTATATAAACGAGAAGGACCGATTGCGGACTTGCATGTAATACTAGAAACACTCACGAACGTGTCCGTAGTCCGTGGGTGAATACTGTAGAATGCACTAAATTGAGCATGACTTACCAACGTAGTAGCTCCAACACAAAAATTTACTATTTTCTTTTCTTTACACATTGACAAAGTACATCGGCCGCAAAGTGCGTTTATACATATGTGTATTTGGTATCATTTTTTGTTTATATCCACACAATCTTCACATTCGTGTCTGAATATAACGACTTTTACACACAAATCTGGGATCGCTCACGGCAACATTTACGGCCGTCATTCAACCTATACGGTGATAAATTCTGCTTTACATGATACTCGGCTAAGTTTGATTGTGAGAGTTGACACGGGGAACGTACGTTTACATGCGTGAGTATTTCTATTGTTGTATTAAAATGTCAAATAAACCAGAACACAGAAACCAGAAACGAAACATTTGCCACAGACGCCAGAAACTAACAGAACTGCTCTTGGAGTTGAATTTTATGCTGCAGGTAGTTGCATTTAACATACCATCCGTTCATAACAGCCGACTGGAAGAGCGAGATACATACATGAGTTATCCACGCTACTGAGAGCGGCGAAATGTTGCCACCTGGCAGAGTGTTTGCACACTTTTGAACAAATTCATAATTTTCGTCAAGGAATTTAATAATTTATGTGCTTGAATATAAACGCAAGACAAATATACATGATTTATATGGCAAAAAATAATTAGTTTCGAATTTTGTTTTCATTTCTTTTGAACAAAACTACGCATTTTTTCAGTTTATATAATATTACTTTAAAAAAAGTCTATACTGGCAACCTTGTATAGCAACGAACAACCGTCACTAACGGCATGGGCATTTCATTTGAATGGCACTCTCATAAGATAGGTTGCTATAGACGGAAGGTATGACGGTGGGTAGTTGCAGCATTACTTACCCTTAAGTTGCCTACAAGCGCAACATATTTCATAATATTTTTTGTTTGCTTGAAGCATTCTGCTATTCAAAAACTGAAATTTCGAACGGTGACGACTGAGAAACTAGTTTCTGGAAATCAATTTCATATAATTGCGAAATAAATATTATAAAGTATGACTGCATTCATTTAACCGGAATTCGATTTATGAAAATGAATTTCCAATTGCTTATTTCTCTTCAAATTGCTGTCAAAGATTTTGAGTATTGGTAAAGATTTTGAGTATTGGTAATATACAATTTAAATTTAATTAAGTGCTATGTCTTTAGCCTGCAATATTGTGAACACCTGTTCATAGTTGAATTGTGCCAATGTTGACACAAATTTTGTGTAAGAAAAAAAATTGGCACCATCCAAACGAAAAATGACAACATTGCCATAGACAGTGAACTGTCAAAGTGTTTTTTATAGTGTTTTGGGCATAAATTGTAATTAAGATGGGATGTCAGGCAAACATTCTATGAAAGACCTAAAATATTTCTTCGACGTCCTTATTGGTAAGATTATTTAAATTGTTTAAGAATCCCTTCCTATCGGGATAAATGCCCGAAGGATCAATTGCGCCATGAACCTCAGCGTCAAAAGAAGTATGTAATACAAGTGTGTAAAACAAAAAAATAATAGAAAATAAATAATAATTTATATACAATAGGAAATAGGTATAAGCATGTTGAGTCAGTCTAATTCCTCTCGCAGGACATTGCAATGCAAAAATCGTCTCTTAGGAATGAGTGAAATCACTAGCTCTTCTCTGATAGTACCGAACTACAAGGACGCATTTGCCGTGAGAAGGGCTTTTTGCGGTCATTTACATACTGTTGTCATAGCAACGGCAGAGTGTTATGCTTCTGGATGTGTTCTCTTTTGTTTATGACATACATATATTGTACCTATGTATATGAGTAAATATATTTACATATGAGTTCTTGTATATATTATACAATATATGTTTGTATGTGTAAGAGCACTGCAAACATCGTGACTACCCCATGCAAGAAATGAAATACAATACACAGTGGCTCACAGCTTATTTGATACAGTTCAATTCATTAAAAAAAAAACATAAACTAATTATTTTCAATCTTAAATTCTAATATTTTGTGTGAAAGCCTGGATCTTGGTTGGCATTGATTGGATCAATTTTTGTGTGGTTTCTGGTGTCATTTTTTGTCATGCCTCTAGTAGCGCTCCGAATGTTTTTGTCTAATAACGATCACAAATTTTCAATAACTTCCATATCAGGTGACTGTGCCGGGTGTCTCATCAAATGGCGACAGTTCCATATGAGCCAGGATTGAAGGACTGCTGCTTTGTGTTTTGGATCGTTATCTTGATAAAAGCGGAATTTTTCTTTTACACTAAGATTCTTAGCACTTTGTAGCAAATTATTTCTCAGCATATTAAGGTACATATTTTTGTCGATTGTCCCTTCAGTAAACTCCAAATTTTTTACATCGGCTGCGGATATACAGCCCCAAATCATCACAGTTCCAATGCCATATTTCACTGTAGCTCGCCGGTTATTGAGATCTCTATTCTTTTTTCGCCAAACGTAAGACATGCCGTCGGAACCAAAAATATTGAAATTTGACTTGTTCCAAAAATCATGGGTCTTACAAACAGGTTGCTAAGCGAACTTTAATCGACACATTTTTTTTTTTTTTACTAATAAACGGTTTCTTACGCGCAACTCGGCCATAAAAAATCCTGTTCGCAGATTACGCGGCGGATAGTTCCAGCACTGAATGT